TTAACTAAGAAATTGACACTATATGCGGTTATTGAAAACTTTTAGTATGTTTGAAACAATTTAAGGATGTGGGCCTCCCTTTTCCAATGGTAAATTTTATGAACTCTATGTATAGATCAGGTGTTTTCTATAAAAATTTAGCATCTGAATTGGGAAATGCTGCATGTCTAAAATATACACTAGGTTTAAAATGGTATAAAAAAGAAGTAAAATATCTCCATAATTATTGCTGTGTGTTGAAATGATAATATTTTGTATATATTGAGTTCAATAAGATCTATTTTTACTTTTTAAAATATGACTACAACATTTAAAATTACAAACTTTCATGGCATTTATTTTTTAAAATATTTTTTATTTGTTAATTATACTTGACAGTAGAATGTATTTTGACATATCATACATACATGGAGTATAACTTCCCATATTTGTGATTGTACATGATGTAGAATTACACTGGTCATGTATTCATATATAAGCACAGGAAAGTTATGACTGATTCATTCTGTTTTTCTCATTCACTTCTCCCCTCCCTTCCCGCCACTCTGCCCTGTTCAACTCGGTGGACTGCCCTCCCTCCCTCTCCACCTATTATGAATCAGCATTTCATTCTTCTTTATGGCTGAGTAACATTCCATTGTGTATATGTATTTCATTTCTTTTTTACCCATTCATCTGTTGAAGGTACTAGGTTGGTTCCATAGTTTAGCTATTGTGAATTGAGCTGCTATAAACATTGATGAGGTCACATCACTATTGCATGCTGATTTTAAGTCCTTTGGTTTGCTAAGGAGTGGGATAACTGGGTCATTCCAAGTTTTCTTGAGGAATCTCCCATACTGCTGTCCAGAGTGGTTGCATCAATTTGCAGTCCTATCAGCAATGTATGAGTGTACCTTTTCCCCACACTCTCGCCAACATTTATTGTTACTTGTGTTCTTGAAAATTGCCATTCTGACTGGAGTGAGACAGAAAATTAGTGTAGTTTTAATTTGCATTTCTCAAATTGCTAGAGATGTTGAACATTTTTTTCATATATTTGTTAACTGACCATATTTCTTTTTCTGTGAAGTGTCTGTTCAGTTCCTTAGAGCATTTATTGATTGGTTTGTTTGTTTGTTTGTTTGTTTTTTGGTGTTGTTTTTTGAGTTCTTTATACATCCTGGAGATTAATGCCCTATCTGAGGTGCAGGTGGCAAAGACTTTCTCCCATTTGGTAGGCTCTCTCTTCACATTTTTTTATTGTTTCCTTTGATGTGGAGAAGCTTTTTAGTTTAATACCATCTCATTTATTGATCATTGATTCTACTTCTTGTACTTTAGGAGTCTTATTGAGGAATTCAGTTACTAAGCTGATATGATGGAGAGTTGGGCCTTCTTTTTCTTCTAGTAGGCACAGGGCCTCTGGTCTAATGTGTTCATGGCATTTCTTTTGAAAAGATTTGGAGGTTATAGACTCTAGAGGGTGTCTGAATTGGTATATAGTGGCCCTAGTCAATCATGGGTGTTTCAGAGAAAAGAATTGTGTCACCCTTTGAGAAAGAGTCCTGTACCAGTCTGAGTCACTGCTCTCTTCAGGGAATACTTGCCCCAATTACTTTTGCTAGCAGTGTTTAAGAGAACTAGGGGATGTGAGGTCTTCTAAAGTCTATTTAGTTCTCAGTGCTTCTAAAATTGGGGTGTGCTGTAGGCACTATGGATAATTGCACTGTGATGTCTCCATCGGAGTACACCCTGCACTCCTATCTCTGCACTCCTATATCTGTTTGGAGGAGCTGTCTCCATCCAATATGCATCTGTTGGGTGAAGATTTGAATCATGTCTCTTTAGAAGCTGTTGGCTATCCCTGTATCTGGCTACCTTCAGCTTTGCCACAAATTTCTGGGTTATCCAGTTGTAGTAGTAGTGCTTGTTTTAGTCTTTCTACATGGATTGAAATATAAGATCTTGGCAGAATAAAAAATTATTGATAGACTTTCTAAGAAGGATGTATCAACGGCAGGAGTTTTCAGGTTTTCTTCTCTGTGCAAAATTCAACCCTCCTTTGCATTTGTAAGTAGTAAATATAGCATCAGGGAGAATTACCTTCCCTGTTCACTGTGTGGTGACTGGCCTGATGCTGGGATAAGGTCACCTTTCCTGAATAGAACATGGTGGATATAGTGGTATGAACAGAGAGGATCACTGTCCCTGGACACAGGTGATGACTAATTTGAGGAACCAAGAAGGACCACCATCCCTAGTCGGCTTATGATGACTAACCTGCTGCGTTTAAGGAGGATCACCATATTAGCTTGCTAGCAACAAATACAGAGTGAGTAGCTTAACCAGCAGAAATTTATTTTCCTCACAGTTCTGGAGAGTAAAGTCCTAGGTCAAGTTGTCAGATTTAGTTTTTTTCTGAAGCTGCTTTCTTTGGCTTGAGAATAGCTGCCTTCTTGCTGTGTTCTTACATCGTTGTCTCTCTGTGCTGTGTCCTGATCTCTTCTTATAACGACACTAGTCATATTGGGTTAGGATCTTCCCATATGACCTCATCTTATTTAATTACCTCTTTATAGGCTATATCTCCAAATACAGTCATATGCTGAAGTATAAGGTATTAGGACTGCAACAAATGAAGTTGAATGGGAGAATTCAACCACTGTCCTGGGTCAGTATATTGCATTCCAGGATGACAATCTTAATGAACTGTGTGGTCAGAGGCAGTGACCATAGAATGGTCATCAGGCCACATCAGGCTTCATTTCCTATTGAAGGGAACGAGAACAAGAACATTCATCTCTGACACACTTACGAATACATTTAAGTAAATGAGGTGGAATGGGGGAATGTGTTGAGTCCTGGATTTTTTTTTTTTTTTTTTGCAAAGTGACAGATGGTACATTCTCCTCCTTAGAACCAGGAATTTTTTGTGACTTGAATCACAGTGCCAAACATCAAGAAAATGTGCTAATGTCTTTTGGGGGAGCATGATATGTCTGTCATTAGGCACAAGGGTTAAGAATCTATTTAGCTACATGAGCAGATAGAATGAATATAAGCCCTGTACCAAAGAACATAGGGTAAGGAGGTGATCAGGCTGAGCAGAAAGCAATGCGGATGAGGATATAGGTGAAAAGCTGGAGTCAAGGCAAAAGCAGGAAAGTGTAAGACATGAAGAGATCCCTAAAAGCTGAGTTGGTTAGAGCAGATGAATTGGGACCCAGGACATTGGTTTAAAATGGTGATGGGAGAAAGGTCTGTGTCTAGATGTGATATGGGACTGGGTTGGTGATAGCAGGAAAGAAGGAAGATGGAGGATAAGAAGATTGTTTAAAACTGGCAGTTGATTAAATGTTAAAATTAAGAAGATTCAGAGTTATAAACACACACACACACACACACACACACCCTACAAGGATGCAATTCTGAAATCTCAAGAGATTACTGGTTCTAGTACTGGTGCTGAGACTTTGAGGATATAGTACCTGTGTTCATGAAAGAAAAGATGGGAAGAGTTTCATTGGTTGGTAGATTATAAAGGCACCTAGAAAGTCAATTTCAGTGTGTAGTTTTATTTCCATCCTAGTTTTAGGTTTCTCTAGTCAGCTCAATTGTAATCAACAAAAAATTAGATGGAAATTATATTCTCCATCTGACAAAATTCACAGGATACACACATTAAATCGAGAAGAGGACTCAGTGTAAAAACAAATAGGCTTCATTAAATGGTTATGATGCCCTCAATGCACTTATCTTGGGGAAAAATATAGCGTAGAAGAACAGATTGCTTGATGGAAATTTGCTTGGGTTAGTGTGAAAGAACAAGAAAACCTCTCCTTTAAAATTTTGGCAGAGTGTTAAAATCTTTTAAAAGCAAGAGGATGATTCCCCCAATAGTTTTCTACAACTATTGAAAATGTAACCAGGAACAGCTCGGGAGGCTGATACAGGAGGATGGCAAGTTCAAAGCCAGCCTCAACAATTTAGAGAGACCCTGTCTCACCAAAAAAAAAAAAAAAAAAAAAAAAAGTTGGGGGGAACCAGGATAGAATGTGGTTCAGTGATTAAGCACCCCTGTGTTCAGTCTCTGGTACCCAAAACAAACAAAACAAATTATATATACGTATATATAGATGAAACGATATTCTCCACCTGACAAAATTAACAGGATACACACACACACACACACACACACACACACACACATATATATATATTGCAACCAATTGCAGATCATATTTATGTTTATGAATAGTATGTATAACCTAGGATCTTTTACATATGTAAAACCAACTATGTCTTGCACAGAACTTCAACTTTTTCACTGTCTTCAAGAGGTAACAGAACCTGAGTGGTTTGCTATGGGCTTTCATTTTTTTTTCATTAGCATCATACATGAAAATCAGCAATACATCCTATTATATGGACCCTCTCTACACTGCCTTCAGCCAATGTGTCAGGACACCATTTGGTGGAGCGAACTTAAGCAGAGGGGCCCAGTTTCCACAAATCCCCAAGCGATGTTGATGTTCCAAGAACTTCTGCCAAGATGCAGCAAACTGGACTCTCCACTTGAAGGGTAGATTCAGGTCATAAGGAAGATAATCCGAAAGAGTCAGAAACAGGTCTTTTGTAGGCACAGAAGTTTGGTAGCGACTTGCACGCACCTGGGACAAAATTTGCTTCTACCACTGTCCGGTTATTCACACCTTGTGGAATGACCAGACTGAATGTGGGAAGAGGTGCATTCAGAGTTACAGGACTGCGCGTGGCCTCAGCGAACCGCCTCACCCTTCCTGGGCTGCAGACACCCAAGCTCAACACCTGCTTGTAGGGCCGCCCAGCCACAGGGCTGTCGGGTGCGGGCCACGCCCTCTCACCGCTGGGTCCCGCCCCTCAGCACGCGCCGCTGGCTGGCTGGCGCCCCGCCCGTCACATGGCAGCCCCACCCTCCGCGCACGCTCCGGTTGGCTCTCCCGACCCAGGGGGTGGGATCTAGCAAACTGCTCTGCCCCAGACGCTGCTGCAGTTTTCAAACCTCAACTGTAAACTTCGGTCCCCTTCTTCACCACGGTCGCCGCGAGTCACTTCGAAGGGAACCAGTTCACAAGTGTTGACCTCTGTCTGGAATAGTAAGCGTGGACTCTGCCAAGTTCCGAGTTACCCGGCGCCTCACCTGCTAGAGCTGGAGAACGCGTCCAGTTGCCGCCACCCGCGTGGAGCGGGACGGGAGCCCAGGGACCGGAGCCCCCTCCAAGGGGGCAGCCTGGAGAGAGCCTGCTGCGTCCGGAGCGGTCAGTGTACTGCGCCTCGCGGGTCCGCGGTCCAGCCGGGATTGAGGGGTGAGCTAAGATTGCGCCTCCGAACCCCTGAATCGGTTCAGAGACCCCGGAGCGGGTCGAGACTCTGGAGGGGTCCCAGCGTTGTGGCCGGGGGTCTTGGGTCTTCCCGGAATCCGGCCTTGCGGAGATGGGCTCGGAACTGCCGCCCCCTGCCCCGCGCCGGCCCCGCGGCTACGGGCCCCTCTCCACATTCGGGCTGGTGTCCTGCGGCAGTTTGCAACGAGTGCTCCCCGGGGGGCGGCCGGGTCCTCTGACCCGCTTCCCAATCCCGGGGGCACTTGTGCGTGCGGTCGGCCTGCCCCACCCCCGGCACCGTGGCCCCTCGGGGGTCGCCACGCGGCGGGCCCACCCGCGCCCCTTCCACGTCCCGTTGACGTGGTCCTCCGAATTCCCCTCGAGTTCCCTTCGTAGTGTCAGCACAGGACGTGTTCATGTCTGCGCTGGGGGACACGTCATGTCCACAGCTGTCTGTCGTGAGGAGAAAGTTTGTGCTCATCTCTGGGGCATTTTCAGTCATCGCTTCTGAACAATTTTTTTAAATCAGTGAATAGAGGACAAGAAGAACTGCAGCTGTTTCAGTTACTTTTCAGTAATCAGCTCTTACTTGAATGCCCTGGAAACACTTTGTGTACAAGACTAATCCTTAAACTACATCTACACGACGGCCACGATTTTGACATTTACCCAGGCTCTTTGTTTTATTGTAGGTAAAAGCGCTTCATTTGCATTCCCTCAGAGGACTAGATAAATGGAGACAAAGTTGAAAGAAACTTTATTGCCAGCTGGTAGCTGGTATTAAATTTTCCTGTCTATCTGTGTTGGGACTACAGACACTCAGACATGACTTTGCATTTTGAAATTAAGAAGAAAAATGCTTTTAAAGAGTCCAACCATAATACTGATCAGATTTCAATAATATTTGAATACATCAGGTTTTTGTATCACATTCACCAATTGTTTAGCAGAGGTGATGTTTACATCCATGGTAATAATGAATGATTAGGTGAACCTTGCAGGGATGTATGATATGGTGTGGTCTGTCAAGTCTATGCGAATGTGTGTGCTGAAACGCAGAGTCTGTAGAACTGACTGGGCAAGTAGTGTATGTAACCTGGCATTTTGAACCCAGGAGCACAGTTTTATTACAGGAAAAGATAATTTCTCATAGGTCCAGCATTCTGCAGTTTTATGGTGAACTGTCTAGAAGTAGTTTTCAGCAACTTCTTAATGTGTGTTTTATAAATTTTAAACCACACATATATAAAGTTGTATATTTTTAAAAAGGCATCTGAGCAGATGCTGAATTTTTAAGGAAATTTCTAATACTTAATAGTTGGAGTTATTAATAGCTGCTTTATTTTTAGGATGCACATTGTGCATGTTAGATCATTTTTCTAAAATATTACAATAAAATATGTTTACTTGCATGGCAATATGTTTGAGTTATAATAAAAGCAAAGTTTCTGTTATTGTTTGGAAATCTTTTTAGTGTGTGGATAGAGTAATTTCAGTTTCCTCTTGAGATTATTGTATAGTGAATTACAAGTTGGTTAAGATAGAATCAGTTTTTAGGAAACTAGAGACTTGACTGATCACTGTCTGCATATTAATAACAAATTTGAAGAGACAAATTTGACAGACATTTGTAGCAGATATTTCTAATCAAACAATTTTATTTTTAAGCTTACACTGACAGTATTTTACTAGTAAACATTTAAACATAATTTTGGAAACTTTGTTTTGAAGCTGTTTACAATTAAAAGGGAGAATTTCCTTATCAAAATTTCTATTTTAATCCTGAAGACTCAATTTAAAACCCAGAATCAATTAAATCAAATACTGATTCTTTCACTTAGTCTTGAAATTATTTCAAAAATTCACGTGTGGTATATTGTAGAGCACATTTCCTGTATGTAAAATTGGCAGATGAGAACAGTGCTCTTGACCTAACTACTATTTTTGTGGTGCCCAGAATCAAACCCAGGACCTTGTTCATGTTCAGCAAATAGCTCTGCCACTGAGCTGCATCCCTATCCCTTGACCTTGACCTACTACTTTTAAAGGTTTTTTGATTGATTCTTGGTTGTTTTGTTTGCTTTTGTTTTTAGAATTCTTTTGAATTTATTGTATCACAAACATCAATAGTCATTTAAGTACTACCTTTCTATTTGGAAGAACTTAAAATGTATTCTGTTGCTTTCATTTTTCATAATATCGAGGACAAAATTCAGTGGTTTTATTTTTAAGTAGTTTATTTTTATCTACATATGTTGTAATGTTGAAATTTTCAAGGCATACTTTGTTAAATTTTTTCTTTATTTATCCTTTTCCCAAAAATATTTAACTCAAACTTCACTGCTTTTTAAAGCATGAAGTTAATTTCTTTTAATATTTATGTGCAACATGTCTTGGTTCATCCCTTACCCTTTTCAACTACTCCAAAAGGGGGCGTTAGTTATGCATTAAGCATTGAAGAATTTAAGCAGTGAGATAGTAGTTGCCTCTTTAATCCTTAAAGGATCAGATTCCATTTTGCATTCTGATGGTTACTGAATAAACAGTACTTCAGTGATGCCATTGAGTAAACAGTAATTTATTTTACAACAGAAACCTAATTTTCCATTTGATGAATGACAAGCACTATGTTTGTTGGCCCACTCTATTTCCGTTTTTTTTCAATGTCTTATCCTAGTTTACAATTATAGGATTTAATTCTTTTTCTGAAGGTGGGAAGAGACAGCATCAGGCCTTACTGTCTTGGCACGGTGTCAGGCTGCCTGGGGTTGTTCCCTGGGATTTCAGCCCTTGGATAGTATACACTAGATTGGTTGGACTAGAGTCAGTCTAGTTGGTTTTCCATTGTGATTTTCAGGGGATTAAATTCTTGAATTCTACTTTGTGTTTAATAGTTAAAAGCAAACAACAACCTGTTACTAGAATACATATAAGGAATACACCTTCCTTGAAATTGAAAACCATTATCATTTCATCCTTCAAACAATGCCTTTACTGCCAATCTAAGGCTAATTAAAAATGGATCCTCTGCCATACAGCAGAAAGTTCTGCCTTTACTTTTGATGGATGCTATGTAATTAAATTGCCAGGTTCCTCTTTTTCCTAGGAACAACTGGGTTTCAGTAAATGCCCATGTAGACAGGAAGAGTTGGTTCCCTGCAATCTTGTGGTTTGCCTTGCTTTCCATTGCCTTTCAGATTTACTTCACGAAAATTGAGATTTATCACTCTTTGATAGCACAAGTGTCTGAATTTACTGATTGAAGTATTTCTTAAACTATTGATGTTCTTAGCTGAAGTAGTTATTTACATAAAAACAGGGAGTCACATAGTCTGGAAAGACTGATAGATAGGAAATAAATGCTCTGTTGGCATCATATTGCAGTATATGATATAAATAATTTTGTGGATATCCTGTTTTGGCCTGAAATTCTATAATAGCAATTTTAATGTTTCTTATTTTATTTAGTTAAACATTGAATTAAGCAAAGATGAGCTGTGTTTGCATCTCCAGTACTAATTTCAGGATAGATCGCAACCCCTGAAAATATGAGATGTACTTAAAATTTTATTCTGCTATATTTTATATTTATAGTTCATATAATTCTATTGATCAAACATTTTTTAAAAATTCCCACCAGGTACCAGACACCACCTGGTAATTTCTATTTGCTTAGGCACAGAAATAAAAGGCTGTTGTCCCTTTAGACACTAAACATAATTGCAGTCTAAGGTGTTAAGAGGTTAAGGAGTATGCCAAGGTCGTCTTATTTGAGGCATAAAGGAAAGACATTTAAATCAACCTGTGGATTTTTAGGCAAAGTGTCCTGGGAGGAGTATGGATAAAAAGAATTAGTCATTTAAGGAAATGTAGAAAGGGAGTTTCAGGCAGAGAAGTATAATCTAATTGGGGGGGGGGAGGGAAACGAGACTGGAGTGCAGCAGGAAACAATGGCAGTGTATACTTGGCTTCAAGAGCCTTGAGTGTTATTGTATAAGGGTTTTAGCTTACAGATGCTGAGCAGCTAATGAAGGAATCAAAGCAGACAATTAATTCTCTAGATGTTTTTATTGTATATTGCAAATTTTATTTTCATAAAACTTTGTTATTCGATAACTTTGAAGTGATTTTCATGATGAGTATTTTTTAAATAGAGCTGTTTAGAGGTTTATGATGGATTGTTTGTCTTGCCTTTGATCACATCATATTTGCTTTCTCCATTCAAATAAGATAAGACTTAGATCAAACTTAACATGTCTTCATGTTTCTTTCTTTACCAATCCATATCTTCATTCTTATTGTAACTATTGTAGTGTGAATTAATGAAAAAAATCTTTTGAATATAAGTGTGAAGCACCATTATTAATAGTAGAGCTGTATAATTAAAATCTTAATTGTGTCTTACCTTCTTTTACCCTTTTATGGTAAAAAAGCACTCATTATGTCTATAATTGTGTACAGACACAAATTTTATTAAATGTCCCTTCAGATTTAAATTGGTAGAGCCTGATAAAATGTTATGAAATGGATTTCAAATGGAGTAAAACATATTGCTAATTAAAATCAGTTATAGAATCTGTGAACTGTGGTAAAAGACAAGAAAATGTGGATTGGATTATTTGTTGAAATTGAGAGAATTTGATGGGGGAATTTAGAAGATGTAAAAGCTGATAGTTTTGGGGTGTCTTATATGAAGGGCAGCCAGATATTTTGAAAGGTTTGGAAGACAGAGGTGACATTCATGCTTCACTATATGCAAAACTGGCCAAAGGAGGAGAAATGGAAAAAATATCTAGGCTGTGACAACTGGTTCAAGACAAGTAAATAGAAGGAAGATGAACTTAAGAAATGGAATTCAGATACTTAAAGCAATTTGTATATATTAGCAATAAGTAGATGAGTTGAGCATTCAGTTTTCAGAAATGTGCTTTCTTTTTCTGAGACATAGCTTGTGTTCCAGCATATTCAGAGCCAGAGTGAAGTGTATCACAATACCCAAAATACTTTTTGTATTGACACTTATTTAAAAAACTGCTCTTGCCCAACACTGTTTTCAGCTACATCTGTAGTCATACAAATGCCTGTAACATATTCATCTATCATAATAACCAGTAGTACATATAAGTGCTAAGAATCTGTTAGGGTAAAAAATTAAACACACACACATCTAGTTTTAGGAAATTTGATTAAGTAGATTGATTAATAATTACTATTTAAATTATCATTACTAATTTTAATCACAAAAATTAATCTAAGCTCCTTTTTCTCCTAATATAACTAAAAATAATAGGATTTGTCAAACTTAATTTCATCAGTATATTTGGATATCACATTTTGAGTTTGTTTTTTGGGGTCCCAGGATAAGTCTGAATTTTCATAAGTAATATTCTTAATAAATTCAAGGGTCTCAAGATTACCAGTTGTGATTCATATTCATTTTATAGAATAATAGCTATCAGTTAATTCAAAATTTACTCAGTGTTTTTTTCTGGGCAATTTTGCTTAGAGCATAGACGCTAAACATATACCCTAAATTCTCGTATGGACTCTGCATGAGAACTGACCTAAGATTTAGATAACAAATACCATTAGCTACTTGTCAATGCAGGAAAAAGTAGAGGTCTTTAAGAACCCAATATATGATGGCTCTTGAACTGCAGGCTGTGTAAACCTTTTATATGGAAGTAGATACCTTTTGGTGTTACAAATGGGTAAGATGCTGCATTTGTCTGTTGATATATTCACAGCAATCTTTTTTTCCATAAGGAAGAATTTATCACTTAAATTATTGAGTTAAGTATTAATGTTTTAGTTTTAAAACATATTCACTCTTATATAATGTGAAGAGAGTCATAGCCATCTTTTTTTTACCCAAAAGTATCTTTTTATTGATTATTAAGGTAGTATCAGTGTAGATAATTTAAACATAGGAAAGTATAAATACTGCTCATAATCTCACCAAATATGACCACTATAATATTGTGCTATAGTTTTCCAATGTTCTTCTGTTTGCATTTATATTTTACGTATAGATTTATATTATATATAAAATTTTCTGTTTTTATTTTTTCACTTAATGGGTTAATAGTCTTTGAAAGCATACTTTTTGTTGAACATATAATATTCTATTTTGGTTTACTTAACTATTTTCTTATTAACTGGACTTTGGTGTTCATGAGTTTAAACTTCTGAAGCATTTTTTTGTTTTTTTTTTTGCTATTATAAGTCATGCTTAATTGAACACAAATATTTGACTACATCTAAAACCATATTGGCATACATTCTTGAAAACTAAAAACAGAAAGTGGCTTATCATAAAATATATCTTAGTTCTACTAGAGTTCTTATGAATGGATCACTTAGGAACCAATGTATTTCAACATAAGGTAAACCTCCTAGAAGCCAGAATCTAGATGAGACAAAAATCTAGAATCAAGAACCAGTGCTACTCTTGTTTCTGTGATTGAATTTGTCATGTTCATCATTGATGAATAGTATTGGGAATGTAGCCCAAATATATCCATAACACAGTCATTTCCTTTTTTTTTTCTGTATATGTGTGTATGATGTAAGTGTGATCATAAGGATATGTAGGACTTTTCATTTAGGTGTAAAATTCTAAGATCCCAAAGACAATCTGGAGAAAGAAAAGAAAAACCTAAACTGATTGAGCACAGAAATTGATACTCATTTTAACTTTTCAGAGAATGATATGTGACCAATAAAACTGAGTGTCACAACTATGATGATACAAAATAGTTAGTCAAAGCAGCAGATAAGCTGGGCGCAGTGGCACACACCTGTAATCCCAACAGCTGAGAAGGCTGAGAAGGAGGATCGTGAGTTCAAAGCTAGCCTCAGCGACATAGTGAGGCCTTAAGTAACTCAGAGAGACCCTGTGTCTAAATAAAATACAAAAAAAGGATGTGGGATGTAGCTCAGTGATTAAACAACCCTGGGTTCAATTCTCAGTACAAAAAACAAAATCAAATAAAGAAAAAGAAAATAAAAGGAGTTTTAAGAGTGGAGTTTAGACTAACTTGAGGTGAGAGTTTTGTATATGGAATCAGTACAGCTGCTCAACAATGGAAAGGTACTCTGTAGAGAATATCTTTATGTAGAATGTTATTTTTTTCTAATGGAACAGTCATAATATGCTATCATTGCTAGCACACAGCAATGTCATTCCATAGGATTTCATCATATTTTGATTTTCATTTTTAGAGCTCTGCAAGATATTATCATCCATTGTTTTGGAGGGGTATAGGAATTGAACTCAGGGGTGCTTTAATACTAGGTTACGTCTCCAGCTCCCCGCTTTTTTTAAAAATTTTGATACACTAAGTTGCCCAGGCCGAACTTGAACTTGTGACCCTCCTGTCTCAGCCTCCTACGTCACTGGGTATCATCCATACATTAGAGGCAGCAGAATTGAAGCAATCAGGGAAATGCAAAACAGATCACAGTAAAATTCCATTTCACCTTCATCATACTAGAATAGCCCAAAGTCTGATGGGATAAGTATTGTCAAGGTAATGATAAATCCTCCCATCCAGTGCCAGTGGAAGAATGAACTTGGGATGGAAAAAAGATATTTTGTTTTATGATATTTTATTTAATTTAAATGAAATATGGCCACATAATTAGATTGAAAAGAACAGCATTTATTGTGGTATTTGTTTCCCTGCCTCCATATTTGAAGTATTTCTTTCTGTCTTTTTTAATAGCTACATTGCTATATGTTGGGTGACTTAAACAAGTGGAAATTTGTTTTCTCTTAATTCTGGGGGCTAGAATTTTGAGATCAAGGTGTTGCTTTCCTTGACATAATTAGTACCTGAAAAGGCTCTATCTCCAAAGTGACAGTGTGATGTACTGGAGCTGAGTATTTCAGCCTATGAATTTGATAAGGAAGGACATAGTTCATCCTGTAGTAGTAGCTGCTCTGACGTTAACATGGTTTGTCCTCCTGAAATCATATTGAAATTTAATTCCCATTGTGGACTATTAAGAAGGTGAGAACTTTCTTAGCTATGGGGTTTAGAGGTAGAGTTGTTGGGAAGTGATTAAGTTTACATAAACTCATTAGGGTGAGCCCCCCCAGGATTAAATCCTGTGGCTTTTTAAGAATAGATCAGGCACACATGCACACTCATTATTCCCTGTCTCTCAACATGTGATATTCTGTGCGTTTCAGGACGCTGCTAGCAAGAAAACTATCACCAAATGAAGCCTTGCAACTCCAGAACCATGAACCAAAATAACCCCTTTTCTTTATAAAGGAGACTGCAATAGGAATTTCATTATAATAATGAAAAATGAATTAAAGGAGCAAAGTTAAAAAAATCAATTAAGGTCTTATAGCTGTTATGATGGATAATTCAGACCCTGATGTTTTTAAACCCAAATGTTATTTTCAGAAAGCTGCATTAGTGTCCTTAGATTCCTAGAGATATACCCTCAAACTAGTTACTTTTCCCCCCCTCAAAGACTAAGGAATTTATAGAGAATAATTTACCGACTTGAAAATAAAATCAAGAAGAGAAAATACAGAACTGAAACATTGAACTCTAAGCACACTGCCTGTTTTCTAAGTATAATGTAATTTGTATTTGAATATAGGAAAATAAAGGACAGTAGATGTAAAGCAGGAAATAAGGGGTGGCGGGATATGACAGAGAATGAACAAAAAAGCCTCTGGGTTTGTTATAGGAAAGAGCGAGAAGAATAATACTTTTTCTTTTATTAAGCATGCATAGCAGAAAGTCAGAAGTATCTTGAAATATATAGTCTGCTCTTATTATATGTCCATCATTATAAAACGGTAGTTTTGATGTTAAAACTGGATGCATGTAAATGTCAAAAAAGTTCCAAATAATCATGAACTTCAGATATGATTAAGACTCCAGAATAAGGATTTATTTGTGATCATTCACTCATTGCTGTTTCACATGGCAATCTCTGTGCCAGGTTCTGACAAAGGAGAGACTCAAAAATGGAAAGTTTCTGGATTTGGTTTTGGAATGTGGTCAATCCTCAAAACAAGTTCCATTTCTTGTAGTCATTCATAGATCAGTAATATAAGTCACAATATCTGTACATTAGATCAAACTTATTTGGCCAGGTGAAATTAAAATGAATAATTGTTACCTTGTGTTAAATTACCTAGTTGTATGAAAGGTAGAACTTCAAAGAATTAGAGTTTAAAATGAAACAAAATGATTGCTTTCATTACAGTTTTATGATAACTTTTAAAAAAAAGAAGTTGGAGAGATTTTCATAGTAGTTTTGTTCTAGAATGAAGTCAGTAACTTTATTCAGATGCCATTGAGGTGACACCAATTGATGTGTGTGCTTCTGGTGTTTCATCCTGTGGGTAGATACATGTGCTCTTTAAATTTTTATTTTATTTTTTTACTTCGACCTATTGCTATATTTGGAGCTGTACAATATAACACACATCCTGCCTGAGATAACATCTTTTTTTTTTCTTAATTACACTTATATCCTCTCTCTTCTCTTTTTTTTTAAATAGATAATATTAAGTGATTAGAGAAGCATCTCTGGGAGTCAGCTAAGATGTCTCGGAGAAGATTTGATTGTAGAAGTATTTCAGGCTTGTTAACTACAACTCCTCAAACTCCAATGAAAATGGAAAACTTTAATAATTTCTATACACTTACATCTAAAGAGCTTGGAAGGTAAGAATAATATGATGTATATGCTGTTTAAAGTCAAATTTTGGATTTCTGTTTCTGTAGTTCTGTGAAGTCATCATCTCTATTGCTGTTATACAGGGTTTCAACTGACTGGAAAATCAAATCTGTAGATGGTTTAGTGACCTTCTATCAAGTGTCACACCTAACTTCAGAGTTCCTATGGGAGTTTTCCCTTTCTTATCTAAGGTCATGAATAGAAAGAGGCTGCAGCATAGCACAGTGGATTGCTGGGTCCAGATCTGGGCTTCTGGGCTCTGTCATTTCCTAGCTGTGTGAGCTCAATTAAATTACTGGACCTCTTGGTGCCATAGTTTCCTCATCTGAAGAAGGGAGAAAGATACTTGTGTCTATTTTATATTGTTTTTGTAAGGGTTAAATAACTTAATATTTGTAAAGTGCCTTATATAGGGTGGTATAAGTTTTTATTTAATAATTTTTTAAAATTCCTAGGATATTTTAGTTTGTACTTGCCTAAAAAAGAAATAGGGAGATTCTCCTCCATCACTTTTTTTCCTAATTAAATAAAAATAGTTAACATATACCTGAAATATAGTTCTGTATCACAAAGAATGAGTCTTCTATAAGTAAGAGCCTGTATAAATTTTGCCTTGGTTTAACCAAGGTGTAAGTTTCTAAACGCCAAGGAGTGACTTGATATTATGAGATCATTTAGTACTACTCTTTTAATATACATGAAATTATAAAAGCTATGCCAAGTTATCTATTAAGTATCTTCTGAACTTTAAATTAAAGGTAATTAATGAAGGGTTGCAAAATGGTGATTAATTTATATGTTCAGTGTGATTTAGTTATGGAGGTAAATGTTTTGGTTTTATTAAAATGGCCTGGTTAGTCAATGTTTGTATAGATAGATGTATACTAAAATAGTAGGATTAAATTTTTTCTTTGAAAATCTCAATGTGAAAACAAAAAGTGAATGATTAGAGGTAATTTTTCCATAGTAGTCTTTTTGTAAATTTTTTTTAGTTATAACTGGACACAATACCTTTATTGTATTTATTTTTATATGGTGTTGAGGATCAAATCCAGTGCCTCACACATGCCAAGTGAGCACTCTACCACTGAGCAACAACCCCAGCCCCCATAGTAGTCTTTTAAGATGGAGACAAATCCTTGCTTTTTAACTTTTATAGATATTGAATGAAACCTTTTTCAAAATGAAGATGATGAGAATATATTTTTCAAAATAAAGATAAGATCTACCTTATTAAAGAAAAGAACTCAGTGCAAAAGCACAGTTTATAATTGTATCATACTAATTAATTTTGTATGCAAACTATTTGCATTTTTTTCTTTTTTTTTTTTCTTTTTTAACTGGGGATTGAATCCAGGGATACTCAACCACCAAGCTACATCCCCAGCACTTTTTTTTTTTTTTTTTTTTTAATGACAGGTCTTGGTAAGTTGCTTAGCGTCTAACTAAGTTGCTAAGACTGGCTTTTAACTTTCGGTTCTTCTTCCTCAGCCTTCCAAGCCACTGGGATTATCAGCATGCACCACCACTGGCTTGTATGTTTTAATGGTATATTAAAAGAGAATTTTAAAGACATTTTAAAATGACTTTGGTAAATCATTTTGTTCTGTCTTTATTTGTCATTGTATCATAGCAAGGAGTGTTTTGTTTTCTTCTTCTTTTTTTCTTTTATGTCATAGAATCTTTTCATTGAAAAATTTCAGTGGTCTTCTCATAAAATTTTCTTTTAAATGTAGTAAGCAGTCTTTCCTCTAATTTCCCCCAACAAGCCATTAACCAGCCTCAATTTGAATGCTTCAATTGTCTGTTTCATTTTTGGATACCTTATAGGCATAAAATGTTCTGTTTTCTACTCTGCTAATGTCTACCTAATAGACACTGTTTTCTTTTATAGCTATATGTAATGTCCAGCCATGTAAAAGTCCTTCAGATATTTGAATATTTCTAACCTTGACAGTTTCTTTAAATGCTTGTCATATGATCTGACTTCCAGACAGCTTTCCTTGATGCAGATACCTTCTTCTGAATCACTTTGTAGTGTTCATTTGTCTCTCTTAAAATGGGAGGCTTATGATTGGAAATGGCATCGTAATATCTCACCCTTTAAAGTTTAAGGAGATTGTGTCGAGGAAGCCTAGAAGTTCCCTTAGGAACCTGCTTTCTTCCCTCCATACCTCCTTCCTTTCTTCCTTCCTACTCTGTCCCTCTATTCTGTCTTCTAGCCACCCTTCTTCCAAAAGCTGCATCAAATCTGCCACATGACATTATATAATACATTAGTAGAAACAGATGAGCTACAAGTCAGTTGGCCTGCCTTTGTTCTGTATCTAAAGTTGTATGATCTACTTAGTTGTATGATTTACTTTTTCTTATGTGAGAAGATGGACTGTATGTCGCATAGTTTCCTTTTATTATGTTTGGAAACTGCTCTGAACAGGCAATTAGATATTAAATCCTTTAACAGTATGTACAATAAAAGGCATTTTAAATTTTTTTTCTAAGTTACTGTTTTGATGGGTAAATTTATTTGCCTTTATTAAATTAACTTTGCAAAACAAGCTCTTATGGGAACTAGAAAAGTACCTTTTTTTCTGTAAAGGTTTTGGAGAACTTAAACTTTGATGAGGGCAATATCAATAATTCTAAATTGTTTTATAAAAATGAGGTGCCATCGTGAGTAAGAATTGTAAACTTGTGTCAGTATGCTTTCTGACATTTTAGAGCAAAAACTCTTGGTAGATTTCTGATTAAAGCAAATTCAGGTTGCTAATATCTTCTGAAAGTGGCATAATATCATCTTTGTTTAAATTGTTTTGGACTAATGAGTCACATTGATGTATTTAATAAGCAGACCTTGATAAACTAGAAATCATGACTACTGAAAACTTGCTTAAATTTCTTTTAATATTGTAACCAATCTTAAAGTATTACACTTTTGTGAAGTGGAAATAAGGATCATAGTCTTGTTTCTACTGAAACTTGCATATTTTATAGTATATAGACATAATTCTACCATGTGGTGAACTATAATGTCATCTTTCTAAATCCACTGGTTTTTTTAAAAATTAATTTTAAGATGTCAGTGAGCAGTCTAAAGGAACATACATAAAAGTTAGTCAAGTTCATTTGTTACTACTCTCAAAAACCTTGCATTGTTCCTGTTTTTTAAACATGTTGGGTCAGTTTTTTCCACCCTTCCCCCAACCGAGGCAAAGTTTCATCGGGCTTGTGGTTAGAAGGGTGAGGCAGATTCAGAAATAAACGTCAGCTTCCTTTGTGGCTTACCCTCCCCATCCCTTCACATTTTATTATGTATTCTAGAATGTAGAGGGTAACTACTAGACCTTTTCGTTGCTGGGAAATCTGGTCAGCCTTGCCTTTTAGGGTATGAATTAAGTATTATTGTTAAGGGTTTTTAAAGTTTTCTTGAGTGTTTCTATTAAATTTGGTACAGTAACATTATATATTGAAAATTATTTTGGAGATTTCTAATAACTAGCATTTTAGAATAAAACACTTGTTTCTCCCCTAAGGATTCGGTTAATTGTAAAAATATTTACCTTGTTTCACAGGGTACACACATACACACACTCTTACATATATTCATGCACATATATAAAAATTTTTGGAATCTCCAACTTTAAAAGTGCCTGAGTACAGCATACAGAATAGCACAGTATGTGGCATTCTAGTAGGTATTCATTCAACAATTAAATAAAAGTACTTTGTTCTTTGTTTCTGAGGGAATTTTTCCTCATGGATATAATCATAAAATTACAGCAAAACTTAATTGCCACTTTTAGTGCTGTAAACTCTTTTTTTCTGATGTATAATTTTCTTGACTAACTTTCTGTTGTCTAAATTTTAAAAGATGAATTTCTTTATAAAAAATTTCCTTTCTGTTTTAGACAAGTTTTTGCTTCCAAATCCAAGAATTGGCAGAAGTAAGTTAAACTTCCTAGAAAAAAAAAAACAAACACACAGCAAAAAACAGAACTATTTTAAAAGGAAGGAATTGTAGTGGTTAGAACAGAAAGTTAGAAATTCACATTCCAGTTTACTTCTTGGCACTCCATTTCCATATGTGACCTTTCATGAGTCATGTAGTCTTATTCTGACTTAGTTTTATTCACTGTAAAATTTATAAAACATCAGTGTTTCAAATATAAAATTGAAGAATTGATTTATATTTTTGTGTACTTATTGAAATGCTTCATTCAATTTGTGTACCTTTTTCATAAAGTAAGAAAATATTTTGTAGTGAAAATTAAACATCCTCAAATCTTAGAACTGCTTTAAAAAATCAGTTTCGTTACATGGAAACTTGAGGCATATTTTAATAAATGTAAGAGTCAAATAAATTATAGCTTTTTTTTTTTTTCTTTAATAGCTAGTTTGTTTTCCAGTGCTTTTCATTGGCACCCATTTAGGGGAAATTTTGAGAAGAGTAAAATACAATCAGGCAATTAATTCTACCACCCCATACACACTCTAAAGACCAAGTGTATTAAAAATTGTTTACCTTGCTAAGGTCTTGGGAAGTTTGTTTTGGGGAATTGGCCAAGGGAACTGTGGAACAAAAATTGTCTCCTAAAAATTTTATTTATACCTGATTTTTTTAAAAACTTTTTTTAGTTGTAGATGGACACAATATTTTTATTATTTATTTATTTTTATGTGGTGCCCAGGATAGAACCCAGGGCCTCACACATGTGAGGCAAGCGCTCTACCACTGAGCTACAACCTCAGCCCTACACCTGATTTCTTAGTACCCGAAACTGGAGAGAAATTTGAGGCTCAGAATAAGGTTATTAATTTTGGATCCTCTAGACTCACAAGACTTATGGAGGGGCTGCAAAGTCTGAAAATTCTCTGGAACTGAGTGTAAACTACCTGTTTAAGAGCATATGTACATTTTTTCTGTGTAGGCAAATGAATCGCTTTTATTTCTCAAAATTGTCTTTCATTCAGGCCTTTGTGAAACTAAATATTGGATGACTGTATACTTGTAGTACATACATATACCAGTAGACATGTTTAAATTTTGGTGTGTATTAAAGTTTTGACTAAGATGCTGAGTACTGATATGGGAGAAAGCCAAAAACACACTCATTTCTAAAATAAGAAATATGTGTTTGTACCTACCTGTTGATATGTGTGTGTTTGTACCTACCTGTTGATTACTGTAAATTTTCATAGTTGAACATGAAATGTCTTTAAATATTCTCCATAGGGTATGTATCTCTGCTATCTGTTAAAGGCATCACAGACCACTGAGCATTAGTAAGAAATATACTGGTAAAACAGCTGACGAATTGTAATTGAAAGTTTCCAACCTTGTTAAAAATCATTTTAAAATGCTAAATTATTACAGTAACAAAATTAAACGGGCCAAATACCCACTTTTGCATTCATTTTAATTTTTTAGATTTTAAGAAAGGCTATTTTGATTAAGGAGTTAATGTGATGCACTATGAAGGGTACAGTTTTTGGAAAAAGACTTAAGTTTAATCTTTATCTTGACCAAGTTAAGTATCTTCTCTGGGGTCTGCAAAACAGAATAACATTGTTATGATTCTTAAACCCCATAATTTATGTCAAGTATATGGCATGGAGATGGTATACAAATGAGATTGTCTTTTTGTAGTGATAATATATCATATTAATAATGAAGAGTAAATACAATTTTGCCATATCCTGTTATTAAAATTAAAATTTGTCATTTATGTTTTTTATGTGATAACACTGTAAATTTCATAAAAATAAATGTGATGCTTGATATAGTTTAGAGAATAAAGACACTTTCCAAATGACATGAATATTTGAAACATTTGACTTTAATTTAGAGGTGTAAGAGTGTCTGTAATATATTAACATAGTTCTCTGTGGTAAAATTAAAATTAATTTTCCTTTTTTTTCCTCCAGAGGAAAATTTGCTGTGGTTAGACAATGTATATCAAAATCTACTGGCCAAGAATATGCTGCAAAATTTCTAAAAAAGAGAAGACGAGGACAGGACTGTCGAGCAGAGATTTTGCATGAGATTGCTGTTCTTGAATTGGCAAAGTCCTGTCCCCGTGTGATTAATCTTCATGAGGTCTATGAAAATTCAAGTGAGATCATATTGATATTAGAATAGTAAGTATGTACTTCAGTAAATTTAAGTTACCTATTCTAGGATAGGTGACTTGAAATATAAAAAAATAAGAATAATAAAAATATGACAGGAACTTGTAAGGATTCCTTTGATAAAATGTTAGAGAAACATAGTTCATATTCAGATATTTTTCATAAGGGTAAGTATATAGCCTTACAGAAAAGCACAAAACAGACAGCAAGAAATAAACAAATGTCAATACAGTATTTGGGGGATGTGGTAAAATCATACTTTTATTTTTACTAATGATGTGGAAATTGAGATTTTTTTTTTTTTTTTTGGAAAACAATGTTATGGGCATATAGAATTGAAATCATTTATATACTTCATGCATCTACTTGAAAAAACACTTTCAAGGAAATCCAAGAACAACAGAATGGTAAAGTGCATAAGGTAATGACTAGAACATTGTTTGTTAAGAAACCCATTTAGTATGTGTGAAATGCATAACATTATGGTAAGAATTGTAGCCATAAGAAATTATGTTCTTTGTCAGTGAATGCTAAAACAACCAAATATTCAATAATTGATGAGGTAGTGGGAGTGGAAGATGGTTAAAATAGCAGGTTTTACCAATATATCCACATGTGACTCTTAGTGTCTTTATTACATGAAGATCTGACACATTTATTATAAGGATGTAACAAGTATGAATATCTATAACAATTATTAGAAAAGATAACTTTAATGTGTGTTTATTATGCTTTAGATTCTAATAGTTTTAATAAAGTAAATCTACTTTTAGAAGAAAATGTATTGATGACTTCTTTTTAGTAGCTAACTTGCCTCATTGCCTTTTTGAATTTAAAAGCATATTAGCCTTATTTTAGCTTCTAGTTATCTTAAGGATAAAGAGGTTTATTTGCATATTAATAAAAAAATGTGTTTGTGCCAGGAAATAGATTTGCCTGGAATCAACTTGTAAATGAAATTGCTAATTTTGCAAAATGTTAAGTAGACAAGTATTTCATCTCATAATGAATATCATGTAGATTTTTAAAAAAATATTTATTTTTTGGTTTTAGGTGGACACAATATCTTTATTTTTATGTGGTGCTAAGGATTGAACCCAGTGCCTCGCACATGCTAGGCAAGCACTCTACCTCTGGGCAACAACCCCAGCCCCAAATATCATGTACATTTCCCAGAACGCTAAGGTATCATATTAAGGCATGTTATAGCACCTTCAAAATAAATTTGAATTTTAGTAAATGCCAGAATAGGGGCTGGGGAAATAGCTCAGTTGGTAGAGTGCTTGCCTAGCATGCACAAAGCCCTGGGTTCAATCCCCAGCACCACCAAAAAAAAAAGAATGTAAATGCCAGGATACTCCCAATAAGATTTCATATTTCATACGTTTTGTAATTATTTTTGTCAGCTGTTTTTTAAATAATTATCACATGCATGACATCTGTATGCTTGAAGTATGTAAAAAGTAGCTAACATTTTTCAAAAATTGTGATGGAATACTAGGTTTGAAGGGTGAATATACATGATAATATTGATTGTCTTCATAAAGTTTGTCTTCTGGGTGTTCATTTAAACAGCAACAACAAAATACGTTAGAAAGTTTTAATACATTTTATGGATTGATGTTGTTTATAATCTGAAAATCATTCAAGTACCCTGTCTAGTAAACTAGCAAAACTGTTACTGATCTCTGTACCTCTGGCTGAAATGTACCAAGCACTCAGCAAATTGGTAAAAAAATTTAATTTTTTACCAAAGTTTAAAAAAAAGTTACTTAAGTTATTACTAGGGTTTTGGCTTAATTATTTTGCCCACCACTTTTGGAGTGGCATTGTCACATCATGTAATTTGAGTTGATGGTAAAATATGGTCAGACAGTTTTAGTTGTTTTAAAAAGTGGCATTATTTTTTATATGGTAAAAATAAAATGTGGAATCTTTTACTCTAATTATTATTACCAATTCAATTCTGTACTCAAACCATCCTACATACTCATTTTTTTTTTGTTTTACAAAAGTTAAAATCTATAGAAAGATGGAAAACTAGCACAATTGACATTCTTGCAAGCTTTACTTTGATTCACCAATTTTTGACATCTTGCCATGGCAACATTTTGAAAATTGTACATAGCATGATATTTTTCCTTTGCATGCTAAAGTACTTATTACAAAGAATAAGGGTAATTGTCTATATGACTAGCACCATTATCAAACACAATAAAGCTAACATTTATTCAGTAGTATCATCTAATAGGCCATACTGAAATTTCTTTGTATCTAAAATGTCTTATTAGACTAACTTTTGTCAGTATAAGATTTATTGAGATTCACCATATATTTCATTGTTGAGCCTCTTCAATAATTTTGTTTATTTTTCATAATATTGACTATTCTGAGGGAAATTTATATCATTTGTCACATGAAATGTCATACATTCTGGATTTGTCTATGGCCCCATGATTAGATTATAACAGTTTCCTTGGCACGAAAACCATATAGGTAATGATCTTATTTTTTATTGCTTCACATCAAGTGATATTAATGTCAGGTTGTTTTATTATTGGTTTTATTAAATTTGAACTTGTTATGGTGGAGTCTACTAGCTCTCCACTCATTAACTGTTCATAAAGATTAACTTATTTGGTTTTTAGATTAAAAAAAATGTGAATTGCCAATATTGTTTTTTATTTTTATTTTGTATTTGTTTTACTTAGTTACACATGACAGTACAATGATCTTGCCTGTTCCTTAACTCGGAGTTCTCTATTATAAACAATAGCATCAATATTCAGATTTTCTTTACCATGTTATCATGAGACATATTAAAGTTAATTTCTGGTGAATTTTCAGGGAGTTTTGGTGGGTGGAATGGGATTAAAGTCAAGAATGTGTGATTGGAACTTTTGTATATGTCCACAGAGCTTTTTTTACAGTGCCATTAAGAGTAATGTGGCAAATCTTTGTTGCTTTTCATGTCTCAGACATTGTGATTAATACTTACAGAGGTGATCTCTTTTAATCCTGTTAATTCATCTGTAAAATGGGAATAATAACATCTTTGTCACATGGTTATCATGAGGATCAAAATAGATGCTATTCATACATACCCAGATCTGTCTTTCTATATGTATGAAGCAGAGCTTATTGTATTAACTACTGTTTTTATTATTTCTATCACAGTTAAGACAGACTATAACATTATTCACTTATAGAGCAATTCAGTTTTATTCATTCAACATTCAAGTATTAGTACCCAGAATTATTTTTGTCATTTATTTTCTTCTTAAAAATTCTCCCTTCCCTGCACTATTCTTAAGAGTGTACACATTTATACACACATACACGCACTAAAGTTTAGATGGCTGTGTCTTTTATTTAACATGTGTACAGTATTTAAAAGTTATTTTTAGGCAAATGATTTTAAAGGTTGTATTATTTGAATTTTTTTCAGTGCTGCGGGTGGAGAAATTTTTAACCTGTGTTTACCTGAGCTGGCTGAAATGGTCTCTGAAAATGATGTTATCAGACTCATTAAACAAATACTTGAAGGAGTTTATTATCTACATCAGAATAATATCGTACACCTTGATTTAAAGGTAAGGTAAAGTGATTTAAAGGAATGCAAAGTCTGTGTTCCTTTGTTGCTTTTGATGTGTAGAATTTTTAAGTTAGTTTTGATCAGAAACAAGTCACATTTAGCCTATGCTGTGTGCATTCTTTGCCTACCTACATGCTATATGGACCTGATTTTGTATTGGCAGGCAGGAGAAGACTGTACATGTGAGCAGCTAATCACTGAGCTTTTAAAATGCATCATTCTTATGTTATAATCCTACAGTCATTCTTCTCTATCCCTCTCTTAGAGCCATACCCTGGACCTTTTCTTAATTTATGAAACTGTCCACCTCTGAAATACTCAATTCTGTTCTCTGTCTCTGAAAATATATTCTTAATAATCCTCATTCCTTTGTTCCCATTATGCTCATTCAGTTTTCTCTTGAGGTTTTCAATCTTTTGACTCTTTCCAGATCATTTAGGTTCCTCTTGTAAGCCCTGAAACTTAAGTTTTTCATGTTGTCCTTTTTCTTCCTTTCCTCCATAGTCATCCAAGGACCTGAAAGTCTATCAATCTCTTAATTTCCAAACATTGGACTCTTCTCTACAATCTCCCTGCATGATTCTTTGACTTCCACTACCACTTTATAATAATAATAACAATCCCCAGATCTTGGCCTATAGTGCAGGCCTATCTCCTAATTTCCAAATCCCCCCTTTTAAACTGCAATTTGGATACACATGTGAATGTCCCATAGAAACTTTAAAATGTCCATATCTCACACTGGACTTGTCATCTTCCCTTTCTCTTACCCTTTTTAAAAAATAAATATAAAAATAAAAAAGCTCTTCTCTATTGGGTACCCCTGTGGAGGGGGAGCAGTTTTTACCATCTAATACCCCTACCATTTCCACTACTGATGAGATATAGGAAAAGAGGAAACATAATAAATACCAGGATACTCAGGCTCCCATGAGCTTCCTATTATTAGATTTATTTTTTCCCCTGCTAAAGACAAACCAAGTATATTACATAGCATCATACAGCACTTGAAGTCATGGATGCCATATAAGCTTGACTTTATATACCATAAAGCCCAAGATTGACAACAACTAATTACCCTTACTTTTTCTCCTATGTTGGTATCTTTGATTTAATAATAAACATGAGGTTTTCCCAGAGTTAAAACACTATGATGATTGTACAGACTTTAGGAAAAGTACCTCTACATATATATAGATTTTGCTGGTAGCAGAAAATTTTGTCATAAGTCATAATTCTACAGTAGTAAAGTTGAGTCACGTGGTCCCAGGAGGCAATAGATGAAGTAAGTGTACCATGAATCTTATTCTCTAAGCTTCAAACCTGGGAACAATCAGACCCAGCTCATCCAGAACCATCAGACTACCTTGAACTACCTTCTCCTAGAAATGTGTGCATGTCCATTTTTTCATGCCTCCTTTTGTGCTATTCTCCAAGCACCTTCTTGCCTGGCACACTCATGCTTATACTTTTAAAACTTAACTTAAACATCATCTCTCTTGCATAGCCTTCTTGGACTTTTTTATGGGCAGTATTAGGTATCTTGCCTTATTATTGAGTACTCTGTCTCATAATCAATGTATCAATCTAACTTTCCTTCATACTGAAAAACCTTTTTGAGTACAGTTTTTTACTTTATTCATCATTGAATGTATAGTTCTTCTTAAATAGTAATTCAGTATGTTTTGATGAATGACTCAATGAAATACCTAATAGCTAACAATACATTTCACTTGATATGTCTTCAATCTGAGATTAATATTCTTTTATTATACATTATTTATCATTTTTGTTGTGCTTTACTTAGCCACAGAATATATTATTGAGCAGCATATACCCTCTTGGGGACATCAAAATTGTAGATTTTGGAATGTCTAGAAAAATCGGGAATGCATGTGAACTTCGGGAGATCATGGGAACACCAGAATACTTAGGTAAGAATTTTCTTTTTCCTACACCTTTCAAATTTATTAAGTAAATGATACCTCTCTAAAGTTGTATTTTAGAGCATCTAATCCCAGGATTCATTAGGTTCAAGTCTTTTTTTTTCTATTATTTATATATGACAGCGGAATGCAATGCAATTCTTATTACACATATAGAACACAATTTTTCATACCTCTGGTTGTATACAAAGTATATTCACACCAATTTGTGTCTTCATACATGTACTTTGGATAATAATGATCATCACCTCCCATTATCATTAATAAATACACTGAAACTTGGTTGTGACACATTTAAATGAACTGTACTAAATGTAGGGTTATTAAAACATTCACAGGATATTGACTAAGTGTAAAATTTAATGTTTATGTATAAAGACTTTGTTTGCAAGGAAAAAAGAAATGAGTAAGAGGGGAGTTAGGGAAAAGGAGAAGGGCTTTATTAGCAAGAATGTTAGGCTTTAGAAAACAGTTTTGTTTTGGAGAAGTATAGAGAATTTATTTTGCTCCTTTTTTCTTTTTTTTTGAGGGGAAGAGAGCTGGAAATTAAGTGCAAATTAGGTTTTTGATAGGTTAAAAGGGATATTTAATCTACTTAAAAATCTGTCATATCCAAGAAGCATAATTTGCTCATAATGTCATTATAAATGCATATGATCATATTTATCCTGAAAAGATAAATTTAAATCAGTCTAATAAAATGATGAAATTAATTTTTAACAGTAATAAAACTAAAACTTTATTAAAGATTCTAGTTTCTCACATTTTATTTCTTCATAATTGCTTTTTCTGACATTAATCTTAATGAAACCTTGGTTTTTTTTAACTACATAGCTTCCAGTTATTCCCAAGAATATTGTTAACACTTTGGACCATCTGGTCTTGGGCTGGGAATATAGCTCAGCTGACAGAGTGCTTGCCTTGAATGCACAAGGCCCTGGGTTCAACCCCCAGCACCAAAAAAAAACTCCCCCAAATGAACCATCTGGTCTTACAATTTGCTCAACATTAGATATGTTTAAATGTATAATCACAGAATAGCTAAATTCCTGATGATCTTATATCACTCAGATTTTCAAAATTAAATACAGTTCTAATTTAGTATAGTATAAAGTAATTTTTGTACCTCTTACTTAATTTTTTTAAATTTTCATTAGTTCTTTTTATTTATACATGACAGTAGAATCCATCTTGATAAAATTATACAAGCATGGAATATATTTTATTTTTATGTTGTAAAATTTGTTGATATTAAATTTGACTTTTCTTTTCTCTTAGCACCAGAAATCCTGAACTACGATCCCATTACCACAGCAACAGATATGTGGTAAGATTCTGCTCATTACCTAAATGCCCTCATTGAAAGTTGGGTAATGTGTATTCCTGGGTTCTTTGATCCCAAGGATAAATAATAAGGGTTTTTGTCTAGAAGATTTTATTCAAGTATCATTATTACGCCACAGGAGAATATTTACTTGTCTGTCCTTTTGAAATAACACTTAAACTCTGAGCCAAAGGTACAGAAATAAATAGGAAAAATCCTTTAGGGGATGAAGACTCTGGATAATCCACAGTGCAGAGCTACATGTTTTGTAATAGAGGTAGAATGCTCAGAAAGCCTGGATGAAGCAACAGACAAAGTAGTCTTAGGTTCCACCTAACAATGGGAAACATTTCATCTTGGTCTAGAAGAATTAGGTAGAGGTGTTTACCAAGAAAAAGATGAGGTCAGATGCACACACAAGTTTGGTTTTATGAGTGTACATTGATAGGGAATTGGGAGTTTTTGTGGCAAGCACAGAGAGAACATGATGGGGATTAGAACCAGGGGACTTCAGCAGGAGACTGATCTCATAGGCCAAGTGGAAGAGTTTAGACTTATGCCCTGTGTTCTCTGAACTGCTTATGAGTTTGCCAAGGAAAAAAGATTCTGTTGTTAAATAAGTTTGTGAAACCCGTACTATATTGTCTATTTCTGGCTCTTGAGCACCAGCCTTTTCATTAATATATTTATAACTTTGAAAAGTTTTGTGGTAAAGATATTTACCTGTCCAACTCTGTGCTTTGACAAACTTAGAGACAGTATGTACTCAGAACCCCTGCAAAGATCATTACTGTGTCATTGCACACCATTTAGAACTGCTGCAGCAGCTTTGTGTCTCTGAAACAGATGTATGTGTTGAAGGGGATATTGTGGACATCATGATATATTTTAAGTACATTGTTTGTGTTATTGTAACACATGTGCATGAACTCTCTTTGTGTGAGGCAAACTTTGAGGTAACTAGTTATTTTAGTTTTAATAATATAGGAATTTCTAAAAGCAATTTGAGTCTCTAGTTTATATTTAAGGACAGGAATTTATATAACATTGATAGTACTTTATGTAAATATTTAAAAATTAACATACATTTTTAATTTCCTCCTCTCATTTTTTAGGAATATTGGTATAATAGCATACATGTTGTTAACTCATACATCACCATTTGTGGGAGAAGATAATCAGGAAACATATCTTAATATTTCTCAAGTTAATGTAGATTATTCAGAAGAAATTTTTTCATCAGTTTCACAGCTGGCCACAGACTTTATCCAAGGCCTTCTAGTAAAAAATCCAGAGTAAGTAATAATATTAATTTGTTTAATTACTATTACAAAGTAAATAATATGTGTTCATTAAGAAAGATACATTTTAAAGTTATATAAAATTAGAAGTATGCTGAAGTTTCAGGTAAAATGGGGAGAGAGATGATATGAAAGATCATTAAATAATAAATATATAACTTTAGATAAGAGAGTACAATAGGAAATTTAGAATGAAAAGATTTGGGTTATTTCTCAGCCAACTATTAATCCTTGAAAATAATAGAAAGTTTACAGTACATATGGCTGATTATTATAAGACTTTATTGTGAATGATTTGTAGTTAAATAATTACAGTTTTATGTAACAAGAACAAATTACTGATTGTCAAATCTTGAAGGATCAGATGTTTGAACAGCCTTGTAACTGTGGATCAGGCCTCCTATCATTGGCAACTTCAAGGCACAAAAAGGAAAAGCGGACCTTTTCTTTATCCAGAATCAGCCTATTTACTTAAAATGGCCTGACTACATGGTATAAAAATTGTGACATAGTGCATTATGCTGGCATCCTGATTTCTTTCTGTTAGTCTTTTATCTCTGTCAGTTATGCATCTTCTGGAGGACTCCATTTCCTTATCTGTTAAAAGAGAGAAAAACAAAAACTCATTGATTTCTTAATTATTTTATTAGGTTAATTCAAATCCAAATAATTCTTACTGGCTATATTATAGACTTGAATGATTATTTAATAGGAATTGTAATAATACTGTGCAGTTATAAACAATTTTTGTTTCTCAAACTTTTTAATATTCTAAAGTTTCTATGATGAGCACATTAACTTTACTATAATCAGACAAAAATTACACAGAAAAACAAAAGACTATATAGCATATACCAACTGGTATTTGTGTTAAGCTTAGAGTTATGTTTATATAAAGATGGGTGTTTTCCCTTCTTTTACAACTGTAGTATTTGACCATATTACTTTCATATAGAAACAAAATTTGAAAATTTAAAGTGTTAGATAAATATGATTGAAGACTAGACCTTGTTTTCAAGTTTTAGTGTTATTTTTTAAGAATGCAAAATAATGGAGAATATGTTACTTATTAATGTTTTCCTCCAAAGGGCTTGTAAACCTAGAAATTTTATAATTTTTACTAAATTTTATTTGTTAAGCTAACATATTATTTCAAGCCTTTTGACTAGATTTTTATCTATAAGTTCCATGATAAGTTGAATTTTCAGTACATGTCAAGTTTAAAAAATGCAGTTTTCCTTCTTTCAGCAATCACAACTAGGGGAACACTTTTATATATAAACTGAATCTGCACATGAGCAGATATCAGGCTTGGAGGTGATGAGGAAATACAAAGGCTAAATAGTTCCTTGATTATTTTTGTTTTTGTTGTTCACTTCTCATTCTCATTCTTTATCTTTTATCATTTACCTAGATAATGAGACAAGTATTTTCTTCAGTAAAGGAAATTTCAAATTAAGTGTAATTTCCATTATGTTTTTGTCAATGCAGACCAGAATCAAGATTTTCAATTAGAGAAAGTAATGGGTTAGCCATTAATTTTTTTTTCATGTGAATTGTGGTTCCAAGAAGAGATTTACTAGAAAAAAAGTAGTTCATGGGCTCAGGATATCTTTCTGGTAGAGTACTTAAACAGATACAAATCCCCAGCACAGGAAAAAAAAAAAGACATATAAAAGATATATTTGTGTGTATGATATAATATGTATATGATCTCTCTCTATATATATATGTACACATTTATGATCAAATAAAGAATAAAAATAGTTCTAAAAGTAAACCATGAAAGTGATATTTTTTAAAAACTTGGATTTTTTGGATAATCTTGGAGAAGATATAGGTAGGATTGCATATTAAGGTCATTTAGAGGGCAGTTAAATCCATCTTTTAAAATATAAAGACCCAATAACTTGGGGCTGGGGTTGTAGCTCCGTGGTAGAGTATTTACCTAGCATGTGCGAAGTCCTGGGTTTGATTCTCAGTACCATATATAAATAAATAAAATAAAGGTCCATTGACAATAAATAAATAAATAAATAAATAAATAAATAAATAAATAAATAAAAAGACCCAATAACTTTATCAGTAATTTATTCACAGGAAGTAATCAGAGAAATTCCCCCAATTTTTTTTCAGTGTTCATTGCTGCATTAATTATAGTTAAGTCTGGAAGTATTGATGGAGATCTGATTAAATAAATTATGGCATATCCATATGAAAGAGTGATAAATAATATGGCTGTTAATATGTTAACTCTGTACTGATATAGAAAAATGTGCTTGAATCACACTACTGAGTGGGTGAACAAGGAAATTGCAAAAATATATAGTGTAGGAACATGTGTTTGTGTGTATGTGTATGGGTGTATGATGTGAACTCCAAAGGGCTTGGACATCCCTATCTTGATAATTGCAGCCCTCATGGCCTTTCACTGCTCACTGCCTGCGGCTTCCTTCAGCAGGTGCTCTGCATTCCTGGCATCTCTAATTTCTTGAGTTCTCCATTGTGGCTCTGGCTTCACTCTCAGAGCTTTACTATGAAATCATCCTGTCAGGAACTGCTTGCATGTATTGTGACCCTGCCACAAACAACCTGGCCTCTCAGGCTTTCCTTTGAAATTTTGATAGATGCGTCCACAATTCCACAACTCTGGAATTCTGCATGCCTGAAAAACCACATTATATGGATGACGCCAGGGTTTGCCTCCAGCAAGAAATGTACTGGGACCTGCTTAGACCATGCCTGTAGTGGTCTCCAGTGTCTAGATATCTGAACATGGGAAAAGCAATCCCAGATAAACAATTCCTGAGGAGTCCCCATGCAAATTGAATACCTTGAGGAGCTCTTATCAAGGAAAGTCTTTGAAACATGTTTACACTTATCCATCTTTGAGCCTGTAAGGGAGGAGGGGTCTTAACTGATTCCTGAGATGCTCTCAAGGCATATTTCCTGTTGTCCCAGTTCAAGGTACTTGGCTTATTTTTAAGGGTTCTAATCTCTTTAACAACTACACCCTCCTTGTTTGGAACTTTTCTTATACTTCCTTTTTGGCTAAACTGCAAGTTTGCCAAATTTTTATACTCTGCTCTTCTTGCCCCTTTTTTTTCTCACTGTAAATCTGACTAAAAGCAGTCTATACTACCTGTGCCACTCCCTGAGTGCTGTGCAACCATGAAAATTTCTATATCAGATTAATTAGTCTTCTAACACTAAACTCATCCTGACACAGTTTCAGGCCATAGACAAAATGTAGATAAGTTCTTTGCCAGAATATAATATGAGTTGCCTCTAGTTCACTTTGCAGTAGAGTCTTCATGTCCATCTGAAACCTTTATCAGCACAGTCTTTACTATTTACATTCATGTTAGTAATTTTGATTTTGATCCCTTCATCAGAATTCGTCCTTTAGGCTCTTCTTAGAGCATCCTAGACTTTCTCTAGCCTATTTCTCCAAACGTCTAAATTCCTCCAATTTTACAAGCCAGTATCAAAGGTTCTAGACCACATCATCATGGATAGTCACAAGCAATAGCCCAACTTCTCAGTATCAATTTTTTGTTTAGTTCTCATTCTTTTTTTTTTTTTTTTTTGGTGGGGGAGGGGGGCGTGCTGGGGATTGAACTCTACCAACTGAGCTATACCCCTAGCCCCTCATTCTGCTGTTTTGACAAAATATTCAAGATAATCAACTATTGAGAGGAAAGGTATATTTTGGCTCATCATTTCAGAGGTTTCAGCCCATGGACGGTTGGATCCACAGTTTTTGGTCTGTGACAAAACAGAGTCATGGCAGAAGAACATGTGGTTGGAGCAAACTGTTCACCTCATGATGGCCAGGAAACCAAGAGAGAGGGAGGAAGGGCCAGAGTCCCTTTATGTTACTCAAGGCACACTCCCAATGACCTAACTTCCTTTCACTCACCTCCCAAAGCTTTCACTACCTTCTGATAGCACTGCAGGCTGATGGCCAAGCTTTTAACACATAGGCCTCTTGGGCAGACATTTAAGATCTAAACTACAGCATGTATCATTTTTAAGTTAGGAGAATTTAGGCAAAATCCAAGCCTCTTGGTATACTTATTCCCTATTCTATTAAATAGTGTAAATAATACCTATTTCTTAGTTTCTTGTGATTATTAGATAATATATTGAAAACGTTAATATAACACCTGGCATATAACTAGGCATTCAATAAATGTTAGCTACTATTATCATTATTATTCTCTACTATTTGGATTTTATAGTATTATATGTTATCTTCATAATCATTTATAACTGTCTATAATCTGTCAAACTAAAGACCTTTTCAACTTGATTTTAGTGCTCAATTTCCCCTTGATGCTTTCTTTCAAAGGAAAAGACCAACAGCAGAATCCTGCCTTTCTCATTCTTGGCTACAGCAGTGGGACTTTGGAAGCTTGTTTCACCCTGAAGAAACTTCTAGCTCCTCTCAAATTCAGGATCATCCAGTAAGGTCCTCTGAAGATAAGACTTCTAAATCTTCTTGTAATGGAACCTGTGGTAATCGGGAAGACAAAGAGAATATTCCAGAGGATAGCAGCATGGTTTCCAAAAGATTTCGCTTTGATGACTCTTTGCCCAATCCCCATGAACTTGTTCCAGATTTACTCTGTTAACACTTTTCTCTTTGACTCATTTGGATTGACTTTGAAATTTGAAATCAACTCCATTGTGAGATGTGCTTTGTAGCTTCATATATGACTGTTTATATTGTAAATTATCTTTGGCATAGTAGAATTTAGGGAAGTCTAGTTGCTTGCATAATATCATTTGTTCCACTGAGATAACTCCACAGAGAAGGAAATATTTAAATACATGACAAAATAAAATTTTACATGTGAGTTCACATGGTAATGAAAAGTTCAAGTTCAAGTGAACTTAAAAATATTTTACATATCAGGAAAAAAAAAGTCTGTGCTATATTATGATTGCTGTAAACTGAACAAAAAAAATGAATGCTTTGGAATTTAATAGGTTCTCTCTTAAGATGAGTTCTATACCATAATTCTATTGACATAATTTCTTTAGGAAAACAGTGTAAAGTTAAGCCAAAGTATATTCTTTATAGATGCTTCAGAGATGTTTTACAATAAAATGTTTTTAAATTATGAATATTTTGAAACTACATACAATTTCAATTATTTATGATCTGCTGTGTGAAAGAGGTTCTTTAACCAGAGCAAAAAGGAAGTTAAAAGAATGATATCCTCTGCAAGTCAGAGCAAAGAGTAATAACATGGCTTTATTTTTTAACTCAAACGACTTTTGCCCACTCTCAGGATATTTCAGATCTAATAAGGTCTGGAAGATGGAGGATGCATAGTATGCAAGTATAGTGGTTCTTCATCCTCTAGAATACAAGAGACTTAGGAAAAATTGAACATGCTCTATTTTTAGTCAAATGTATTCATCAATTAAGTGTAGAAGAAAATGTTGGCAGATCCAGGCAGCTTACTGAAATTTTGATGTCTCCTAAATACAAGTCCATCATTCAGTGCTTTAGAAGTATATGTAAAAAATACCATGGCATCAGCAGAACTATTAGCACAATGCCAAGGTCAGCATGAGAACATCAAATTCTCCTAAAGTTCTTGTGTGAAATTCCTAGTAATTAAGGAGACTCTTGGGGGAGGCCTAAGGCCACCAAGAGAATGGCCTATAACTATGGTATTTTGCTGGGAGCAATGTGGGCAAGTCTAGGGAAAGCAGAACGTTTGGTCAATGGCCAGAAACTGTTTAGTTCTAATAGTGGGAGGTGATTTATTCATTTTAGAGTAATCTTTGATGAGTTTTTCTATCTGATGACCATTAAAATATCTATTATAGCATCATGTTAAAATAACTGGTCTCATGGCCATATTACTTTATCAAACTGTATATTGACAAAACAAACAACCTCATATTTCCCCATGCAGTCAGATATTACTATAATGATTTAAATTCCTGAAATTTTGATAGATTCCAAATTCCTTAGATGACTTTAAACTATTTTTTAATGACCATCAACTTATTTTATTTGACTAACTGGTGAATTACTTTAACATCCACAGCATTTTTTTTTCAATACTGAGGATTGAAATTGGGTGCTCAACCACTGAGCCACATCCCCAGACCTCTTTTTAATTTTATATTTTATTTAGAGATAGGGTATCTCTGAGTTGCTAAGTGCCTAAGCCTCTTAAGCCACTGGGATTACGGGTGTGGGTCACTGCACCTGGCTCATCCACAGCATTTTAAAAGGAAAATTTCTCTCTACTTTGTTGTGTGTATGTATGTATATGCATATGTGTATATGTATAGGTGTGTGTATATATGTATAGATAGATAAAATATAGTCTCTAAGCAACTTCTCTTAACCATTCTTTGCTCTGGTATATTGTGCTGAACTCAGGTGCTACAAGAGCTCCCTTTTTATGAATAATCAATATACATATAAATTCTTTAAAAAGTAGTTTGTTGGTTCAATAAACTAGATGCCGCAGATGCTTGAATTGAGCTTTCATATATCTGAAACTTATGAGTTGTTTTTAAATGTTGAGTGCCACCCCCCCCACCCCCCGCCTTTTTTTTGCCTTCAGTATTAAGGCAATGTGAGTAAAGCTTAGTAAAGTCATTGAGAATGAGGGAATGATTACTTTTCCAAAACACCAAATTATATTTTTAAAATTTTAGAATAATTATGCTATACCAAAAAAATAAAAACAAAGAAATGTTGAGTTTTGAATTATAAGCTACTTCTTTAAAAATCATTTTATACAGGCTTTCTTTTTCTCTGAGGAATATTAAAATAGTTTAAGTTTCCTTTTAGTTAATAAAATATTAAGAGTTGTAAATTTCCATAATGTTTTTGTAACATTGTTTTATTGTAAAAAAGCAACTGCTTGTTGCACAAAGAATATAAAAAGAATCTTTTGATGAAGATAATTTAAATATTTTCACTGATTAAATGGTGAAAATCAATCTTTCAAGAGAATTTATTAGCAAATGACTCGGTTTTTATTCTTTTTCTCCCAAGATAAAAAAAAATGTCTATAAAAAGCAAATGAGATTTATTTTCCTAAAGTAGGAATCTAGAGAGCACCTCTGAGTAAGTAGGTGTCGGTAACACTGAAAACACATCTGAAAAAAACTGTTAAATTGTGATGGTCTTATAAAATTATTTGCTTTTTGAGGAGGATCCCTGGATAGGTGGGATTTTGAAATAAATGGTGTATAGATGACAATTACAATTGCCCTTTTACTGTAAGTTGACCTAACTGAGCAGTGAAATTATAATGACACTTTTAATAAAGGAAGGTAGTACCTGTTCTCCAGTCTGTAATGAGATAAGGTGATTGTGCCGGAATATAAATCAACTTTTGTTTCTATTATTATGAAAAAAACAAAAAACTCAACCAGTGTGACTAGTGATGCAGTTGATTTTCATTCTGGCACAAGCTCTTTTTTTCATTTTGGATGGGTGACAAACAGTTCAAGGCCATACTTCAAATAGCCTTGCTCTTAATAGCATTTATAAGTTGATATTTTATAACTGTTTACATTTTTTCTGTTTATTTTTGTTTTTGTGGTACTGGGGATTGAGCCCAGAGCCTTGCATATGCTAGGTAAGCGCTTTACCACTTATTTTTAAATTTTCAGTTTGATAGCTGATTTGGAATTGTGTTCTTAATTGTTGTGTAAACAATTATACTTTAATTTCGAGTTACATTAAAATTATCTGACTTCTAATTGGGAGAATTATTATTAGCTTATAATTTTATAAAAGTATCTTAAAGAACAGTAATTGTAAATTTCATATAAATTGTTATGCCCTGCCATCTTCACTTTCATTAAATAATCATATTGCTTAAAGCATATAAACAGACATCATGAATATTGTAAGAAAAGTCACAGAACTGTTTATCGTCAACTTAATGATTCTTCTGGTTAAAAATTAAAAAGCACTTTTTTTTAACATTTGTGGTTGTCCTTTGTTTAAAAGCATTTTTAAATTTTGTATTCCTAAAGTCTTGCCTGAATGTTCCAGCCTTTGACCCAGGCTGTTTATTATTAAGTTCTGTCCTTTGGAAAGACCTCATAAATTTGAAAATAAGCAGGTATCTATTCTCTGGTAATAATGGATACTTTTTTAAAAAATGTCAAGGAATGGCAATGTGGTATATGTTGCACAAGATTTTTTATCTGGTTGTGGACTAAGTTAGAGTTAATTCCCATTATTCATGGTAGTTATGTTCTATAAAGTTTCACTTGGTGAATACTGAAGCATCACTCTGGGAAATGTAGAGGTTCCTTCAAATCTCTGTTCATAACATTTTTAAGAGCTGATCAACACATAATCTTATTTTCTGTTTCAGTCTAAAGACACTGTGTAATATATAATATCGGTTCATTAACACTGAACTCAGGGCCAGTGACACTACAGCTCATGAAGCTTACCTAACATTTTTTTCTCTATAAGGCACATCACAGCCTTCTTGTATGTAGGAACATTACACAGCACTTCATCACTATCCTTTGGGGCCACTTTGGTAAACAGTGAAATTACCAAAAAAGGCATAAAAATGGGGGAAAAGGCACTAAAAAGACTGAAAGGACATTTATTGTATGCCAGCTAAAGCAAGGCAGAATGTCACCTTGCTCAACCTCTGCTGAGAATGTTTTGTTGGATGAACTTTACCACTATAGTATGTCTGCAAGTGATGGTGACTACACCATGAGTGTTTCTTTTGGAGTAATAAATTTCAGTGAGTGGGTGAATAATGAGGCTCAACTGTATGTAATAAATTCACCATGTAAGGGGTATGAAGTGTGATGAGAGTAATGGGATACAGACTTTGACAATGGAATCTTCAGGAGGAAGAAATTTATATATGTTGGAACTTAAATGCACTTTGTTTTTTCAAGTTCTGTAGTTTATTTTCTTACTCTGGTACACAAGTATTCCAAAGTTTTCTTCCTGGGCACTGAACATATCTGAATTATAAATATCCTGAAATGTGAAACACCTCTTAGGTAAATAGATCATGTTCTCTCTTATATCACCACCACACTTCTTGGCTCTGTTTCCTCCCTTAGTTAATACAGTGATACCACTTTTCACAAGTGGGAATCTCTAGTTGTCATTCTAAAATTTTTATTTCCTTACTGTACCCCTTCCATTGATGTTTATCACTCATACACACTTACTATAATTTGTAGTCATGTCTTGATTCCTACTGGTACATAATCTTTGATCTAGAGCTAGATTATCTAGATCATCTACAAAGAGGCCAGAAAATGTCTTTTGTAGAGGGCCAGTTAATAAATGTTTTAGGCTTTGCAAGCTAGACAGTTTTTTTTTTTTTTTTACAACTACTCAGTTCTGCTTTGGGAGCACAAAAGCAACCATCCACAACATGGAAACGAATGGGTATGGATATGCCAATAGAACTTAACTTACAAAAAGACAGTGAGATGTTGAATTTGTGAACCCAATCTGGATTATTATGTTATTTTAACTGGTTCTTCTTGCTTTAATATGCTTAATATGGAGAGAACAGACAGAGACAGGGTAGTGCAACATCATAAGCTAAGGAAAAAATGAGTCTTGTCTGAGTCAACTGTCTAACACAGACTTCCAATATACTAAGACTGGTGATTGTACATAAAAGTTTCACTATGGAGAGTTTGCAAGTTGTTGAGAAAAAAGTGAGAAAGTAGAAGCCACAGATACACATGATTCTTTTGAGAAATCTTGGAGAGAGGAAAAAGATTGTTTGAAGAGTAAGCAATGTCAATAGGATGGGAGGACTTGGACACATATTTGTGGGCAAGGAGGGAGAAGGAGTCTATCTGGAAACAGCAATTAAGCACATAAAAGTGCAAGGTAATTGATGAAAGAAAATGCCCCCAAATGTGGTGAGATCCCAAGCACAAATGGAGGGGTCAGCCTTAGAGAGGCTCATTTTCTCTGAGACAGAAGTGAAGAAAAAGAATGTGGGGATAATAGAAATGTGAAGTAAGGGGCTGATCTGTTTCTCCTTTTCTAAGAAGATTGAAGCTAAATCTTCTGCTGAGAATGAAGGAAGTGGAGATAGTTGTTGGTTTGAAGAGAGAAAAATTGTTGAAAGTGAAGAACACAAGAGTCCTTAGCATTTATCAAATTGCTAGAAGTTAAGACCTACCAGAAGAGACAAACATTCAATAGGTAACATCTTAATTTGTGATGAGTTCATTGTGTAAAGTGTCAAGTGGTCTTTTGTAATACTAATTTATGATCTCTGCCTCTATTTTTCCCTTTTTTAATTGAAAGACTGTTTCTTTCCTTCAGGGAAGTACATGGTAACACTCAGAACAGGGAACCCCAAAATCCTTCCATTGGTGCTTTTATAGAGTTAAGTCTATTGGGAGAAAATTTGGAAAGAGCAGAAAAGGCTTAGAAAGAAATGAGGAAAAAGATCTCTGGATCTAGAGCAGCTGGATCTTGTCTAGTTCTATAATTGAGAATATCACAGGACCTTATAGACAATGGTCTAACACCAGTCATGTAGCTTATAGGGCCAATGTAGAACCGAAGAGTTATATATGGGTAAACTTTCCCTCTGGAATGAGTATCAGATGGAAGAGGAAGAAAGCACTGAACCTGAAATTGCTCATATGGGTCTTATTAATGGCATATTTTTTACTCTGTACAACTCGTGTACAGAATACAGAAACAACAGATTTTATGTGACTTGTTCTAACAGTATCTCTTGGTAGAAGCTGAAAGCATAAAGCCACAATGCAAGTCCCTACACGTAATTCTACTGTTGAAAACCCTGTTGGTTGGGTAACTCACTGGTCATGGCCAAACCCTTTTTCCTTCACCTGCCTCCACCTCAGCTCATGTGGAGTTAGGGATGGTCTGGAAGTCTTGGATGGCTTTTGGTTTCTTAATGAAAACCAGAAATGTTTCTGACTGCTCCCAACATCTTGGATGGAGGCTGCTTCCATCATCTTGTAACTATGAGGGAAGGGACAAGGGAATTCTGGAGATGCTGGCCCAGACATCATTGGTCAAGCTAGTCATGTTGACTTCTCAGTGTGTGATAATAACAAAGTCCCATTTAGTTAAGCTACTTTTCTTTGGGTTTTCTGTTATTCAAAACAGAAGGCATCTTTTTTTTTTCTTTTTTTTAATGATGGTGCTTGGAATTGAACCTAGAAGCTCATTTATGCTGTGCAAGCACTCTACCACTAAGATATATCCTCTGCCCTGAAAGCATCTTAATTGTCACAATTGTTCATGTTTCCCAAACTCACATTCCTCTAAATGTGGAAAGGTGTGTGGCAAATAAAGCATTCTGTGCCCAATTATGTTTTGGAAACACTATGTTCTAGAGAGTTAAGCATGCGTTTTTACTGTAGTATCTCTTGTTGGCTTTAATATGCACTGGAAATCCCCAGTTGAGGGACACAGCATTTACTGTGTATCATACTTACTTTCATTGTACTAACTTCTCCTGGAATATTTTCCATGGACACTTACTTGAAAAATAGTAGTAGATGCCAAAGCAATGTAGTGCAATGATCTCCTAAGATCTGCTTTGTCTGGCATAGAATTCAGGTTATTATGGGAGAACCAATTAGTTCCTACATTGGAGAAGGAACTGGGAAGAACAGGCTCTGAATTTTTTGATCCAAATAAAACTACTTTTAGTAGCCCTCTTTGCAGCACTGTAAACTTTATACCTTGATTAGAAACACCAGTAGGTTTTGACAACACTCTCCCTGGTTCTCATTGGCCCCCAATGTCTTCTAGATGTTTCCTTGATAGAAAGTCATCGTCATGGGCTTCTAAGGGTGCTCAGCCATGCCCTGTATTCTAGAACCTTCACTTCATCTCTAGCTATTTACCTCTTTTTTTTTTTTTACATCTTCCATGCCTGAAAGTAAAACTCTTTCCTTGACTTCTGACATCTTTACTCTTCAAAGCTTTCTTGTGAGAATGAAGAAGTTCCAAGGTTTTCCTTTATTGTTTTCTCTCTCCTCTATCTTCCCCACCTCTCTTTCTTTTACACACACACACACACACACACACACACACACTTTTCTATCTCCTTAAATGGGAAACTTTTTTTTATATAGAAAACAAAATGTTCTTCCAGTTTATTGAAAATCATTAAGTACTTCTCCTTAAAATATATTACTAAAGAAACTTTAAGAATGTCTCCAGTGGAGAGGGTGGGTGCAAGTGTGGTCAGAATCAAACGAATAATCTCTCACGTTTAGGTTCTATGCCAACCCTATGCTGTGGTCAAATCTCAGAATAAGCAAAAAAGGGATTATTTTATAATTAGTCGGGAGGATTCCACCCTCTGTGGTTCACCACTGGAATTTAAATTTAGTCATTATAATACCCCTTTGAAAGGCCAAAGGAAAAATATATGCTAATTATCCCGATATTTCTAGCCAGATTATAAAATGCAACTGGGTCACCAATGACAGACACACAACAAGTGTATGATCACTCTACCAATATTGAATAGCAAACAAATGAGTGCAAATGCCTGTGTGGAAAATTTTAAGAATTATTGAACAAATGAAACAACAGATTCTCCATATCCCATGTTGTACATCGCAGCCCTTTCTTACCTTTATAAATCAATAATCATGATCAATCAATGAAGCTTCATGGTCTTCCCTAATTTCAGGCTGGGTCATTTTATAAACAATTTCTATAATTTTTACTTTTGGATTAGCTGCCCATATAGCCTTCAGTTAATTTTATAGATGAAATATTGTAGTTTGTTTCTTACTTTGAAAGCAGTTGTTAGACCAATTTATTAAGAACGTGATTGGATTTTAAACTGAGATTTGCACAAAAAGGTCTCTGAAATAAATGAATATTTAAATAATCACAGACTAAAGACCATTGAGAACAAGTTTAAAGGGAGAAAAAGAACTTGGCCATTTATTGAGGGGCCTTTTTTGG